ACCTATAGTTAAAACTTCCGTGGCACACTTAAATAATGTTGATCAAAAGAATATACTTACTATACTTTGAACTTGTTTTGAAAATAATACAATTCATGATCTCTAAAAATTTTCGCAGGACACCTAAAATCCTCTCGCACACCACTTGAAAATTACTGCTCTAAAAGCACCATAAAATGTTCCCTGGCTGAATGAGCAAACAGGTTAACAGTGAAATGGCATCGCCTATAGTAAGTTCCCTTCTCTGAGAGTTTTCAAGTAAATCCAACTGTATTAGGAGAATTCCTATGCTGGATTCGAGCTGTGATCTATCATATTACTTTGTGATACGTGTGCATTCCTTCCATTTCTACAATTTTCTTTCCTACTTGCCCAATCACTGACTTCGTACAGCTCTTTATAATATCTGCCAATAGGGCTATGTATATAAGCCTTTATACAGCTAATTCTTTTTGTGAGTTTGATTCATATTCAGGGCCTAGCCTGTGGTTGAAACATCACCTATTAAACACGTGCTAACACGTATATGACTTACTGAACACATCTCCTCTGGGTTTCTGAGGATCTGTCTGTATTCTGTTGTCAACTGTAATCCCTCTTGGAGTCGTACTGGCAGCTGGTGCTACAGTTGTCAGTCTGGTGGTTGGCCTTTCTGGGGTTGTTGGTGGCGGAGGGGTTCTGAGCTCTGTTGGAGGAGGAGGGGGTGGTGGTGGAGTGGGCCATGGTGTTGGCTTTGGTGTGGGTCTTGCTGTCAGTGTAGAAGTGGGTCTGCTGGTAATCACAGGAGGAATATACGGTGTCTTCAGTGGCCATCTAGTACCTCCGATGTCAGGAATCCAATTACTATGTCCTCCATCACCCTTTAAAATGGTACCATTTCCCTTTGGTACATGAATTGGACCTGAAGGTTCAATCATAACTTTTGGAATATCTGAAAAAGTTAAAGATTTAAATTAATGTGCAACCATCTCTCCCCAAACAGTGAAACATCACACTTTAAAAAACAGGCACATGAAAACAACTCATGCCAACTAATCTTACTTTTCACATTTAGAATACTCCCTGTGTAAGTCATGCTAGAACAAGTGTGTGTGTGTGTGTGTGTGTGTGTATGGTATATATGTATATAATTGTATAGTCACATATACAAGTATATTTGTCCTTTGGATATATGGGGGTCAAATGAGTTCACAAACTCATCCTAAAAAAGGAGTCACTGCTCACATCTCATTGTTGAATATCACTATGATCATCTTCAAGGGATGCCCCCTGGCTGTCTGGTGACTTCAGTGATATTCAGCAATGAGGTGTGAACAACAACTCCTTTTTTCTAGGATGAGTTCGTATACTCATCAGACATCCATATAAAAACAGCTCTGACGGCCATTCCAGCAAAAAAGCTCAATAATTGCTTTGAAGGGTAGACTAGGTGCTAGCATCAGTGCACGGCTTCCTAAGGGGAGGACTTCCCCTTAGGGTGAAGATGACCATAGTGATATTCAGCAATGAGGTGTGTAGCACTTTTTCTAGGATGAGTTCACAAACTTAACTGTCCAACCTTGAATGCAAAATACATTGATCTTTGTATGATGTATATACATATATCTTATGTGAAACACAGATAAGTTTTAGATATGTATAGAATGAAAATAGGCAACAGTCAATAACCTTTTAATGCAGAGACGTTCTAAGTTTTTTTTTAATGTCTAGAATCTATGTTGTATCCCTATTCTACATGTGTACTATATAATCATGTTTAGAATTATTTAACATTTTTCTCATCCACGTTATAAAAATTTAGCTCACAAAAAGTTTGATTAAATGTTTGTACATATTGTTTTACAGTTGGATTTTCTGCCCCCTCACTAATTTATGCAGTTGCTATTTTTAAAATATTTCAGAGATTGCAAAGATCATTTGTGGAATCTTCTTCCTTGATAATCTTCACCAAAAAGAATGAATATTTAATCTGCCTGGAATGATATACTCCAGATTGGGAATGGCTACGTGACCCTTCAAAAACTCTTTAAGCCCTGTGATTTTATGCACTGTGGTTTTTAGTAAATAATTTACTCAGAAAATTTTTTAAATTATCTACCGTTACATGAAATGTATGCTAAATTATGATCTTTGGTTTGTAAGCCTTACATACGAAGGGCATTTTTTTCACATATATCTACTAACATAGCTGTTGTTCCAAATACACTTCTCCAAGTCTTAAAACAAAACAGTTCTGAATGTAGAGGAAATAAATACGGGAATGATCTTTTAATAGTAGAGTTAGAAGGTGTAAACAGACATTTTCAGATTATCCCACCATCAAAATCTAATGCTAATGACAAATAGCAATGTCTGATTTCAACAGAATCAAATTCCAGCTAAAAGGAAGCTATTGAGAATTTTAGTCCAGAAAGTCAAATACTTTGTAAGATGAAGATGTGTTACTGAGCATTTAGTTTTTAAGAATACCTGAGCAAGTGATTTGTTTGTGGAAAGCACAGACTAACATTACTAGTTATGAAAATTATACTTCTTTGACAACTGATCTTATTCTGTATCTTCCCTTGCAGTGGCTTTTGTGCAAATCCTGTCTTTCTTGCTGGAATTCAGAGCTGGAAGACAAGTGCTACTCACACACGCATCTCAGGCCATCACCCTGGTATCCATCTTTACATTTACACTTGTAGGACCCGTGCACGTTGTAACATCGAGCAAAGCTGCTGCACTGATACTGACCAAGGGAGCATTCGTCTATGTCTGCATCAGGAGGTAGGGAAAGAAGGGTTTTATTTAGCAAATAAATCTAACGACATGAAAAAGACACACAGTTTCAAAAATAACTTGTTTTTCGGCAGTATTAAAATCCATGTAGAAAGAAAGAAAGAAAGAAAGAAGAAAGAAAGAAAACTAAAACAGGCACTGGAGAGATAAAAATTATGTTTCAGAAGAAAATTACAACACACCTGTTACTAGATTCCAATCCTGACCATTGTTTTTGAGTTTTTATTATTTGCCTATGATTTGGACTGAATCCTGAATTATTTCCTGGCCACAACAAGTCTCTAAAGAAGAAGTAGGATTTAATTTTCTTCATGATGTTTCTAGTTGGCTACCTAATAAAGTAGGGGTTTTTTTTTTTTTCCTGTTCTGGCATACAGAATCCCCTTTTGACTATAATCCTTAAGGGCATTATATTTCTACTATTTGAATTAAAAAAAAAATCCATGTAAAATCCAGATAAAGAGAAGAAATAAAGTGTGTGTGTATCCAGAACTCCTAATGGTTGGACTGGCCATCTGTTGGTTTGCTTCATTTACTAATAATGCTGGTACCCTCCTGTGCGTCTGACATCTCAGTCATCACCGCAGTTAAGAGAGAGTTCAGTAATACTGGAGGAAACAACACAAAGGAATGGTCGGGTTTCCTTACCATGACATTGGTATTTGCCGCCAATGTACATGAGGTCAAAGCCTTTATGGCACTTGCAGATGTAACTCCCGAAGGTGTTGACACACTGCCTAAATCTAGGGCAGGCGGCTCTTCCAGTAGCACATTCATCAACATCTGGAAACATAAGTCAACAGTGTCTTAGGAAGGGCCAGGGCATGTTTAGACAGAGTGGGTTTTAAAATTAATAACTGACTGGAAACTGTTGCTTGGCATATAGAAACTCGTCATAAACGGCATGCTGCTGGTTGTCCCCATAGGCAACATGAATTCCACATACCTCCCTTTCTACATTAGTCCATAATGTACCTGTATCTACCTAGTGAACTAGAAAGTAGGATCGATCTTGGATAGTCCATACTGTACCTTATATACCTAGTTAGTGAACTAGAAAGTAGGATCGATCTTGGATAGTCCATACTGTACCTTATATACCTAGTTAGTGAACTAGAAAGTAGGAGCGATCTTGGATAGTCCATAGTGTACCTTACCTACGTAGTAGGTAAACTAGAAAGTAGGAGTGATCTTGGATAATCCTCCTTCCTTTACCTCCTAATTAATCAAGTCTAGTCAATTCTACCTCTGAAAAATTACTTGAACCTGTCTCTACTTCTCTCACTGCCCCTACTGTATTCCATGCCACTATTGCCCAAATATTAAGAGTTCAAACTGGTCTTTTCCCAGCCAGTCTTAAACCCTTCAAGACCTAGCCAACCCAATTGTTGAAATGATTTCATTAAAATGTAATATTGGATCATTACTATGCTTAAAGCCTTTCAACTGTTTTTACTGGCCTTTAGGATGAGATCCGCGACTCCTCCCAGGTCTCTGAAGGCACTGCAGTACAGGGCCCCTACCTGCCTCCCTGTCGTCTTCCAGCCACCACCCCTCACACTCACTCTCTGGACTTAACCCACATGGGCCTTTTATTTCTTCAAAAAACATTCATAGGCCAACTCCTCTTTTTTCACCTGCTTGGCTGGCTCCTGACACAACTAATGGTGTACGGGCTTACCCTGACCATTATTTTCTGAAATAGATCTTTTCTGGTTTTTTTCTTAGTACCTCATGTGAACACTCAGCATTGTCTGTAATTTTTCTGGCTATTTGTTTCTTTTCTGCCTTCCCCATTAGAATGTCAGCTTTGTGAGGCTCAAAATCTTGTCTGCTTTGTCCATTCCTGCATATCCTAGCACTCAGCACAGTGTCCAGAACGCATAAAGTACTCAATAAATACTTCTTGAACTACTGAATATCTCCATTCATTCGGCGCTTACTACATGCCAGGTACTGTGCTAAGCTCTTTGCGTTTGTGATTTCGTTCGGGCTTCACAGTGTGTCTGTGTGGCATTAAGTACACTGTCATTTAAAGATGAGGTGATCAAAGGTCAAAGAAAGGAAATTTCTTGCCTACAGTTACATATATAGTACATGACAGCACCAGTTTTAAAACCACAGCCCCCAGACTCTTACCCACAATCCTCTACTGCCTTCCTGAATTACCAGAAATACACCAGACCCCGCA